TCACCAGGCAAGCCCAGAGCCCTCTGTCCAGCTCCCAGCTGGTAAGGACTCCACAGGGCTTGTGTGTAGAAGGGACTTGTACTGCTTTAGTTTTCAGTTAGAAAGCCCATGGGCATCTATAAGAGGGCCAAAGGAAGCTAATGATGCTGGCTTTGAGGCACTCTGGTTGAACTCTGCCTTATACCATGCTTGAGATTGTATCCCTTCCCATCATACTCATTCCTGATTCCAGCAGATTTCTTTTTCCTCGAGAATAATTCCAGTCTTAGAGAAAGGACAGTTTGTTCCATCCCAGCTATATCTGCTGGACATTCCATAATGTAATTTACCCCAGCAAAAAAGTTATTCTTCACCTCTTCTCTATGTCCTTTCCTGCAGAGCAGTAAGTCCCCCAGGCTCCCTGATTTTGTACTTTAAGACTGGTATTCAGTCCTTCCTTGAACAAGCTGCCTGGAGTGTTCGCAGCACTCCTAACTCTCATTCCTGTGAGTCTCAAGGAATGTGCTCTTTCTCCTGCTCAGATGTCCCCTGAACCTGGTGATCTAGATCTCTCAGACTGCATTTCCTTAGCCTTAGCAGCTCAGTGTCAGATCCCCACAAACTGGCATCAAACTCACTTTCTTAGCACTTCAGTTATTCGTTTTCTATTCAAACTGCAAACTGGCCCTAAAAGGAATCTGGGACATTTCCTCCAGTGATCTCCACTGTGTTTCCACAAAACAAACTTTTCAACTTCACTTCATTCCACACCTGCCTTCCCTTCCCACTGCCTTCCTCTCTTACCATTTGGCATATTTCTGGTTGAGATAACCTGAGGGTTTGCATTCATACTTGTTGCACAAGTTACATTTTCAAGAACAGCACTCCCATAATTTTTTATTTTATATGAGGCATTAACTATTAGTACATTGAAGCCCAGCTGCAATATAAAGTAGTTTGTTAATTGTCCCATTTATTTCTACTGAAGCTCTCTCTAAAGCATCCACCACTGACCACTCCTCACATATGTTCCTCCGAGCCACAAAACTTTTGCAGCCAAGCAGCATGGCTTTTTCCAGCCACAGCTACTCCAAGGAGTTCAATGCATTTGCACACACTCTTGGAAGAAAAAAATCCTTGGCACAGGTATGTTTAAAATTGCTGCATTTGTCAGAATTAGAAGTCCTCCCTTGTATGATACTGTCCATTAATGTATGCCATGGTACACTGCAGTGCTGAGAGGAGTTTGGACTGAGAAGAAGGGAACACTTCTAACAGTGCTGCATGAAATAGAATTGCTTGGTATGAGAGAATGACAATAAACTTCCCCAGTGTGTGTGTGACACGTTGCATTACCAGCCAAGGAGTCCCACTCAGATTTATAATTTCATGGAGTTTAACACAATGAATCCTTTGGTATTTACATTGCCTTACTTCCTTAACAGTTTTATGTATAATTCCACAAAATACAAAAGCTATAGAGGGTGTTTCTTGGTATGAAATTCAATTAAAATCATCCTTATTTCCTGAATTACACTTTACTTTCCTGAGAACAGGATTTTCAGAGTTCCTGTCCAGTTTCTGTTCTACTTACCCATCTCTTTTTGCCTCAGCATGCCAAAATAGCTCAACTTTATTTTGACCCCTTTCCTTTTGTCAAATTACCATTTGGCCTTGGGGCTGAAAGCATCAGACCTGGACCAAGGTACTCAGGCTCTCAGAAGAGCTCAGCTTAGCAAGGCCAAATCTCTTTGGTTTGTGCAGCTCATTCACTCCTTCACTTAGAAGAGGTGTCTGCATCCTTCCCTGGAGTGAGATTCACTTCTTAAATGACAACATTTCCTAAAATTCTTGTATTTTCCTAAACTGTAACCATTTCAGACTATGTCTGAAGAACTGCCTGCTGCTAGTCTTAATCCCCTGTCCATTC